TCCTCCTACCTCGGCCTCTCCAGTCCTTGCACCATACCCAGCCTGAACTTTTTTTTTTCTTTTAACAAGTAAATACATAAGCCAGTGACAGAGTCGCTCATGACCGTTATCAAGTTTCAAGCGCCGTATCTAATTGTGTTTTGTACAACGGGCAGTGAGGTAGGTTTATACCAGCCTCTCATGGCGCTGTGACATGAGGACAGCTAAGATGTCACCAGGCAAGGGGAGATTTCCAGCTCCCTCCACTATGATCTCATGGGATCACCCTGTCGGGTGTCCATCATTGGCCGAGATGAGATCACGAAGGTTGCATGGCAGCTTTTGGCTTTGTGAGCCCCTCCCTCTCCCAGGGGGCTTTTTCCCTCTGGGTGGCTCTCCCCCTACCCTCGCTGTCCACCCCACCTGCTGGCTCCTCCTGGAGCCTTCCCTTTCCCTGCTGAGGTCTTTTTCATTCTGTATGTATCAGGATGCTTTGCAGCGGGGCCCATGCACACAGGGTCACTGCCTGAAGCCCTCCATGTGTGCTGAGCAGGACCCTGCGTCCTCCTTGCGCCCAGAGTCCTGAAGGTCATGTAGTCTGTCCTCGCTTGCAGGTACCTCGGATTTTAGGACTTCCCACCCCACCCCCCAAAAAAAACTCCTTGGGCAAGTGATTTATTGCCTCTGTCTCCGTTTTCCCGGGGTGTTAGGGGAATTCACTAAAGTCTTGCCCAGGGAGTGGGGAGCCCCGGGCCCGTCAACGGGGGCTCAGCAAGTGCTGGGCAGGTCCTTGCTGGTTCCCACCTCTATTGCTGCCCTTGAGCTGGTTTCTCTTGATCGCCTTGGTTAAAGGGGTTGCCAGTCTCCTAACTGGTGGTTCTTCCTACGTACACTCTGCCTATCTGATCAGCCATCAGCTCTTCTTTATCTTGCATTTAAAATTTTTATCAGACCCATGTTTTCCTTACGGCTGTGAGACTTAGAGGCTTAGCTTGCACGGACTGTTGAAAGGCTTCCTAATGGACCTTTTGCGCCTGTCTTTTCTTACCTTTTCTTTCTTCTCCTCCCTCCCTTCCTCTCTTTTTTCCTTCCTCCTTTTCTTTTTCTTTCTTCCAAAATACAGAAACTTGATCTATCAGCTAAAGTTGAAGTCCAACAGGTCTAACAGGAATTTGCACAAATGCCCATTTGTCCTTCTGGATGCAAAGAGGGTAGGGAAGTCAAGCTGACCACGGTGCCTGCTCTCCTGCCAGGCCCCGGGCACACGTTTCTGCATTTAAACATCACGAAGACCCTACTGGGCGGGTATCACTGTTTCCCATTTCACAGAGAAAAAAAAACAGGCCCCGGAGAAATCACGTGACTTGGACGATTTTGAAGAGACAGAGCTGGGATTCGTATCCAAATCTCTTTGACTTGAAAGTTCCTGTTCAGAAAAGAAGACTTTAGCGGGAAAATGGGTCAAACCAAAATAGGATTTGTCATTGAGTTAAAGAGTCAGGAACTAGGG